AAAAAAAAAAAAAAAAAAAAAAAAAGTTTGGATTCCCTAACACAGACATCAGATTTCAGGTGTTAAGACTCATTGCCGTGTCTCATGGGGAAACTTTGAGCCAGGCTTCCCCTTTTCAATAAGGTAGTTTCTACGCCGATTTTTTTTTCGATTCTAAACCCAATCACCCCGTTTGCAAGCAGGTTGAACGTTACTAAGAACAACCAACAATCCGAGATGGTTTTTAATGTCCTATATGAAGACTGCTTTTCTTTTGTTAAAAATCTTCAATTATTTTTTTCCACAACAAAAGTAAACCGGGGAAATCACTCTATCTCTAACCCCAACCGTCAGATTGGCCTGAAATTTTTTCTACAAGTAGATGTCATTACCAACTGCCTTCTAAAAAAATTTCAGCTTGATAAGTTGTGCCATTAATTTTTAAAAAAAAAGTGATAAGTTTATTACACCAAAAAAGTATAATTATTCCACAACAAACGTAAAACGGGGAAATCACTCTATCTCAAACAACAAACATCAGATTGGCCTGAAATTTTTTCTACAAGTAGATGTCATTACCATCTGCCTTCAGAGAAAATTTCAGCTTGATGAGTTGTGCCGTTAATTTTTAAAAAATAGTGATAGGTTTATTACACAAAAAAGTATAATTATTCCACAATAAACGTTAAACGGGGAAATCACTCTATCTCAAACAACAAGCATTAGATTGTCCTGAAATTTTTTCTACAAGTAGAGGTCACTACCAACTGCCTTCTGTGAAAATTTCAGCTTGATTTGTTGTGCCGTTAATTAAAAAAAATCGTAATAGATTTATTATACAACAGTAAAACAGGCAAATCGCTCTATCTCTAACCCCAACCTTCAGATTGGCCTGAAATTGTTTCTACAAGTAGAAATTATTGCAAACTCAACCATTATGGAGTAGTCACTACAAAGCGCAAAAAAAAAAAAAAAAAAAAAAAAAGTTTGGATTCCCTAACACAGACATCAGATTTCAGGTGTTAAGACTCATTGCCGTGTCTCATGGGGAAACTTTGAGCCAGGCTTCCCCTTTTTAATAAGGTAGTTTCTACGCCGATTTTTTTTTCGATTCTAAACCCAATCACCCCGTTTGCAAGCAGGTTGAACGTTACTAAGAACAACCAACAATCCGAGATGGTTTTTAATGTCCTATATGAAGACTGCTTTTCTTTTGTTAAAAATCTTCAATTATTTTTTTCCACAACAAAAGTAAACCGGGGAAATCACTCTATCTCTAACCCCAACCGTCAGATTGGCCTGAAATTTTTTCTACAAGTAGATGTCATTACCATCTGCCTTCTATAAAAATTTCAGCTTGATAAGTTGTGCCATTAATTTTTAAAAAATAGTGATAAGTTTATTACAGAAAAAAGTTTAATTATTCCACAACAAACGTAAAACGGGGAAATCACTCTATCTCAAACAACAAACATCAGATTGTCCTGAAATTTTTTCTACAAGTAGAAGTAATTACCATCTGCCTTCTGTGGAAATTTCAGCTTGATGAGATGTGCCGTTAATTTTTAAAAAATAGTGATAGGTTTATTACACAAAAAAGTATAATTATTCCACAAAAAACGTAAAACGGGGAAATCACTCTATCTCAAACAACAAACATCAGATTGGCCTGAAATTTTTTCTACAAGTAGAAGTCATTACCATCTGCCTTCAGAGAAAATTTCAGCTTGATGAGTTGTGCCGTTAATTTTTAAAAAATAGTGATAGGTTTATTACACAAAAAAGTATAATTATTCCACAACAAACGTAAAACGGGGAAATCACTCTATCTCAAACAACAAACATCAGATTGGCCTGAAATTTTTTCTACAAGTAGAAGTCATTACCAACTGTCTTCTGTGAAAATTTCAGCTTGATGAGTTGAGCCGTTAATTTTTAAAAAAATAGTGATAGGTTTATTACACAACAGTAAATTATTGCAAACTCAACCATTATGGAGTAGTCACTACAAAGCGCAAAAAAAAAAAAAAAAAAAGTTTGGATTTCCTAACACAGACATCAGATTTCAGGTGTTAAGACTCATTGCCGTGTCTAATGGGGAAACTTTGTGCCAGGCTTCCCCTTTTTAATAAGGTAGTTTCTACGCCGATTTTTTTTTCGATTCTAAACCCAATCACCCCGTTTGCAAGCAGGTTGAACGTTACTAAGAACAACCAACAATCCGAGATGGTTTTTAATGTCCTATATGAAGACTGCTTTTCTTTTGTTAAAAATCTTCAATTATTTTTTTCCACAACAAAAGTAAACCGGGGAAATCACTCTATCTCTAACCCCAACCGTCAGATTGGCCTGAAATTTTTTCTACAAGTAGATGTCATTACCATCTGCCTTCTATAAAAATTTCAGCTTGATAAGTTGTGCCATTAATTTTTAAAAAATAGTGATAAGTTTATTACAGAAAAAAGTTTAATTATTCCACAACAAACGTAAAACGGGGAAATCACTCTATCTCAAACAACAAACATCAGATTGGCCTGAAAATTTTTCTACAAAGAGAAGTCATTACCAACTGCCTGCTGTAAAAATTTCAGCTTGATGAGTTGTGCCGTTAATTTAAAAAAAAATAGTGATATGTTTATTACAGAAAAAAGTATAATTATTCCACAACAAACGTAAAACGGGGAAATCACTCTATCTCAAACAACAAACATCAGATTGGCCTGAAATTTTTTCTACAAGTAGAAGTCATTACCATCTCCCTTCAGAGAAAATTTCAGCTTGATGAGTTGTGCCGTTAATTTTTAAAAAATAGTGATAGGTTTATTACACAAAAAAGTATAATTATTCCACAAAAAACGTAAAACGGGGAAATCACTCTATCTCAAACAACAAACATCAGATTGGCCTGAAATTTTTTCTACAAGTAGAAGTAATTACCATCTGCCTTCTGTGGAAATTTCAGCTTGATGAGATGTGCCGTTAATTTTTAAAAAATAGTGATAGGTTTATTACACAAAAAAGTATAATTATTCCACAAAAAACGTAAAACGGGGAAATCACTCTATCTCAAACAACAAACATCAGATTGGCCTGAAATTTTTTCTACAAGTAGAAGTAACTACCATCTGCCTTCAGAGAAAATTTCAGCTTGATGAGTTGTGCCGTTAATTTTTAAAAAATAGTGATAGGTTTATTACACAAAAAAGTATAATTATTCCACAACAAACGTAAAACGGGGAAATCACTCTATCTCAAACAACAAACATCAGATTGGCCTGAAATTTTTTCTACAAGTAGAAGTCATTACCAACTGTCTTCTGTGAAAATTTCAGCTTGATGAGTTGAGCCGTTAATTTTTAAAAAATATTGATAGGTTTATTACACAAAAAAGTATAATTATTCCACAAAAAACGTAAAACGGGGAAATCACTCTATCTCAAACAACAAGCATTAGATTGTCCTGAAATTTTTTCTACAAGTAGAGGTCACTACCAACTGCCTTCTGTGAAAATTTCAGCTTGATTTGTTGTGCCGTTAATTAAAAAAAAATCGTAATAGATTTATTACACAACAGTAAAACAGGCAAATCGCTCTATCTCTGACCCCAACCTTCAGATTGGCCTGAAATTGTTTCTACAAGTAGAAATTATTGCAAACTCAACCATTATGGAGTAGTCACTACAAAGCGCAAAAAAAAAAAAAAAAAGTTTGGATATCCTAACACAGACATCAGATTTCAGGTGTTAAGACTCATTGCCGTGTCTCATGGGGAAACTTTGAGCCAGGCTTCCCCTTTTTAATAAGGTAGTTTCTACGCCGATTTTTTTTTCGATTCTAAACCCAATCACCCCGTTTGCAAGCAGGTTGAACGTTACTAAGAACAACCAACAATCCGAGATGGTTTTTAATGTCCTATATGAAGACTGCTTTTCTTTTGTTAAAAATCTTTGATGAAACATAATGTGAAGTTTTTGGTAGCGAGCCCATACAGCACCGCATTTTCGCCCGTTCAGGCGAAATTATCTAGTTATACTGGCAACCTTATGTCTTCGGTTACTTGTATTCGGGTTTTTCGTCATGATCATCATTTCCTCCCATCATCATTTGTTTAGATCAGTCAGTCTTTAGTAGTAGCTCAAAGTGAATAAACCTAAAATTTAAACTTAATATTTCTGGTGAAATAAAAGGTGTGGAAGAACTCTTCTTGTTCTAAGTTTGGTGCAATCCAAAACCTGCAAGTGTGTGTATTGCTCTGGTCGTCTTGTCAGTGACATTCGGAGTACTGGCATCTCTGCTATTGTGAAGTGCATCGTATGCACTTTCTTCCCTGTGCGCACACTGGGGCCGTGCTGTGGCCACAATTCGTAAAGTTGAGACACAACGTAGGAGTAAGTTTGAACATTTTTTGGTGCCGTGACCAGGATAAACGGCCGGTGGACACTACGGGACCGCCATTATTCCAGTCCGGAACAATAGAAGACCGGCTGAACGCGCCATTGCTGGTCGAAGGTGAAGCACCTGCTAGCTGTCGATTGTTCGAGTTTTTCTGATTTGTATTTGATACAAGGCTCGCTCAATCGGATTCCAGGTAATTACCTGTCCGATTCTTCCCACGTATCTCTCAGGTACGCTTTAGATCTTCGTTTCTTTCCGTTCAAGCACCTGTCTCGAAGGTTCGAGAACTCGATTGCCGCCATCCTTGATTGGGGCACACCACGTTGGCCATCCGGCGCCATCTTCGAGCTGTTTCATTGTGTGGATCACAATACAGGTCCGCTTCTGTTCTTCGGCGGACAATTGAGGCTTTCTTCTGGAGCATTCTTCAGCCAAGCCGCGCATTTTCTACATCGCTACGCACGTGCATCAAGCATACAGTTGCGTATTCAGCGCATTGATTTTCATCTCGGTGGCTGTTTCGTCGAATACCTGAAGATTTTGATTAAATCAAGGCACGCTAAGCCTTGGACTAGTGCTCGTCATTCTTGGCTACATCCCGTTGGAGTTGGATTCGTCGCTGCACTATGGAAGAACCCAGGAGCAACAACCAAGCGCTGCTTTCACGGAGGGAGAGTCTTCTCGCTGCTCTGGGTCGGGCTGAGGCATTTCTTGAGGCCTACGATGCTGCGAGGGACGCAAGACAGGTTCAGATTCGGCTGGACCACATAGAAAACGTTTGGGCTAGGTTGGAGGACGTGCAGACGGAGCTGGAGTCCATCGAGCAGGACGAACAAGGTAAGCGAATGCATGAGGAGGTACGTACTGCCTTTGAAGAGAGGCTGTTCGCAATAAAAGCCGATCTAACATCTAAACTTCCTGTTCTTTCTAATGACGCTCGAATCCCTCAACCTATTGGCCATAATTCCGCTCTCTCTGGGTTAAAGCTGCCCACAATTTCACTCCCCGAGTTCGATGGGGACTATATGCAGTGGTTGGGTTTCCATGACACGTTCTTGGCTTTAATTCACGCAAATCCCGACGTGCCAGAAATTCAAAAGTTTCATTACTTGAAAGCCGCAGTGAAAGGGGAAGCTGCACAGCTAATTGAAACGATCGCAATCAGTGCAGCGAACTACAACTTGGCTTGGGATACTTTGGTAAAGCGCTATGCGAACGATTATCTTTTGAAGAAGCGACATTTGCAGGCACTCTTCGATATTCAACGCATGAAGAAGGAGACATCATCGACGCTGCACGCCTTGGTGGACGAGTTCGAACGCCACACGAAGACCTTGAGGCAGATGGGGGAACCTACCGGTCAATGGAGCAGCATTCTTGAGCATCTGCTCTGTACTCGGCTACATGACGACACTCTCAAGGCGTGGGAGGTGCACGCATCGACCGTGGAGAATCCGGACTACCCGTGCCTCATCGACTTTCTGCAGCGACGAGTACGTGTGCTGGAATCTATTTCAGTCAACCACCATGCTCCTCCATCCATTCCAAGTTCGTATCATGGGGCAAAACGACAGCAGCAATTTCGGCTTACTTCGTGTGCTTCTACTACCAAAGCGATGGTCAAATGTCCAGTGTGCTCGCAAGAACATTACATCAGCAGGTGCCAAAAGTTCCTTGGTCTCTCGGTGGCACAACGTCAGCAACTTGCTATGAAGAAGCGACTCTGCCACAACTGTTTGAAAGGAGAACACATAGCGAAAAATTGTTCGTCCGACTTCAACTGCAAACATTGCAATCGACGCCACCACTCTCTTTTGCATGCCGGTACTAGCGATGGAACCCAGGGAGCCACTTCTGACGCACCCGTCCCGAGTACATCTGCTGTGGTACAGGCTCACCAAAATCATCCAACTTCTTCGATGGGAAATCCTATTCAATCTGCGGTCGCAGCCATCGAAAATGTTCCAGATTGTGAAGTCAGCGTTCCGATTCAACATCCCAAGGAGAACGTCTTTCTTCTGACAGCTCTGGTGAGAGTCGTTGATGCCTTTGGTCAGGGTCATCTGGTTCGTGCACTTTTGGACAGCGGATCGCAGCCTGACATCGTCAGTGAGCGTATGGCCCGTCAACTACGACTGAAGAAAACAAATGTGGATGTGACTATACAGGGAGCCGGCCAGCTTGAGCAGTCGGTACGTGAGTCCATCGTGGCGCAAGTCAAGTCAAGGAATGGAAACTTCGAAGCCGAAATCAAGTTCTTAGTCATGAACAAGGTAACAGCAAATCTTCCGGCGCACGACATCTCCACTGATGATTGGCAGATTCCCGAAGAGTTAGCCCTTGCTGATCCTGGATTCAACAAGAGCCAGCGCATCGATATGGTTCTCGGGGCAAAACATTTTCAATCCTTCTTCCCCAGCGCCGTTCGCATTCATCTTGGTGAACATCGTCCGCTACTTGTGAAAAGCGTCTTCGGATGGGTGGTAACCGGTTCTGCACTAACACAGCCCAATCAATCGCCCACTCCATATTCTCTCTCGTACAGTATCCTGAACGTTTCGACGGTAACGTTAGAGGAGAGTATCGAACGTTTTTGGAAAACGGAGGACCTGTCAATGAAGGACAATTATTCGGTTGAGGAGCGCTACTGTGAATCTCTCTTCAAGTCCACGACGACCCGCACCGCTGAGGGTCGTTACATGGTTCGACTGCCACGAAAACCTGAATTCGAAGCCATGATGGGAGAGTCCCAGATCAACGCCTATCGTCGATACGAAATGCTGGAGCGGAGATTTGAGAGGAGCCCAACACTGAAGGAGGATTACCACAAATTCTTGAAGGAGTACCTGTCCCTCGGCCATATGCGGTTGGTCGAGTCCGACAACGAAGGCAATTCTACAGCATACTATTTGCCACACCATCCCGTGCTGAAGGAGTCGAGCACAACAACGAAGCTCCGAGTAGTGTTCGACGGCTCGGCTAAAACCTCGACTGGCCACTCGCTCAATGAGGCGCTCTGTGTAGGTCCTGTAGTACAGGATGACCTCATAACGATTCTTTTAAGGTTTCGCACCTTCTTGGTTGCACTTGTCGCGGACATAGCAAAAATGTACAGACAAGTTCTGGTACACCCTGACGACACCCATCTGCAACGCATCCTGTGGCGAGTTTCTGCCAGCACAGTTATCCATGTTTTCGAGCTGCTTACCGTTACTTACGGTCTTGCTCCTTCGTCGTTCTTGGCAACCCGTGTGCTTCAGCAGCTAGCTATAGATGAAGGCGATGCATTTCCTCTCGCCGGACCAGCGTTGCGAAAAAGCTTCTACGTAGATGATTTCATCGGTGGTGCCAATTCCATAGAAGAAGCGATCAGTCTCCGTGAGCAATTAGAAGATTTGATGCAACGGGGTGGATTCGACTTGCGTAAGTGGACGTCCAGTCGTTTCGAAGTTCTGCAGGGATTGGACAAAGAGCACATCGGCACCCAGTCAACGCTTTGCTTTACCCCCAACGAGTCCATTAAGGCACTAGGAATCGTCTGGGAGCCCGAAAATGATGCCTTTCGATTTGATTCAGCGATCCAGCTACGTGACGCTCCACCTACGAAGAGATCGATACTATCGGATATCGCCAAGCTGTTTGACCCTCTAGGACTGATAGCTCCTGTAGTCGTACGCGCAAAAATCCTTATGCAGGAGTTGTGGTTGCTTTCTTCGGATTGGGACGAACCAGTTCCCGATTCCATTCGCATCAGATGGGAGAGTATTTGCAATGAGTACCCCCTCATCTCATCCTTCCGAGCTGAACGCTACGCTTTTCTTCCAAACTCCCGAGTTAAGCTTCACACCTTCGCGGATGCATCGGAATCGGCGTACGGAGCATGTACTTACGCTCGCTGCGAAAATGACCAGGGAGAAGTGTCTGTCCAACTGCTCATGTCGAAATCCAGAGTATCACCTCTCAAGCGTCTAACCATCCCTCGCCTGGAGTTGTGCGCCTCTGTCCTTGCAGCGCACTTGTATCACCGTATCAGACAAGCCATCGACATACCCATTTCTGCAGCGTTCTTCTGGTCCGATTCTGCTGTCACGCTGCAGTGGCTTCGCTCTCCACCCAACGTTTGGAAAACTTTTGTCGCCAACCGTGTGTCTGAGGTGCAGCATTTCACGCATGGATGCCAGTGGAACCATATTTCCGGGGTGGAGAACCCTGCTGACCTAGTGTCCCGAGGTCTTTCCGTTGGAGAATTTCTGCGCAGCGATTTGTGGAAGCGTGGGCCGTCATGGTTATCCGAACAGTCGAGATCCTGGCCAATATCAAGACCACCTAACGTTCCTGAAGAAGCACTTGAGGCAAAGCAAGTCGTCGCAATCGTTCATACAACCCCAGAGCCCAATCCGTTATTCGTCCGCTGGAGTACCTACCGTCGCTTGCTGCACGTGACTGCCTACTGTTTGCGCTTCATCAACAATGCCCGTATCAAAGCCAGAACTCAACATATTCCCACCACTGAGCCAAGCCAAGAAGCAAACACCGTCGAGCATTTAGCACGAGCCAAATCGTTGCTAATCCGCCTTGCCCAGAGAGATGCGTTTCGGGATGAAATCAAAGCCATTAAAGACAGGAATGTTTTACCCAAACGATCATGCATTCGCCGAATGAATCCTTTCATTGATCCTGAAGGGATATTGAGAGTTGGAGGCCGATTAAACCTTTCGCAATTGCCCTATCAGACAAAACACCCTGCCCTCCTCCCAGCCAACCACCCACTTTCCAGCCTAATAGCCAAGTACTATCACCTTAACCTTCTTCACGGCGGCGGGCGCCTTCTACTAACAGCCATACGTGAGGAATTTTGGCCAATACGTGGCCGCCAATTAGTACGCTCTACAGTCCGCAACTGCTTTCGCTGCGTGCGCCTTAATCCCGTTCCAGCACAGCAGCAAATTGGCCAGCTACCTACCTCGAGAATCACGCCAGGTCGCCCGTTCTCCGTCACTGGCGTAGATTACGCTGGACCTCTATACTTACGACCAATCCACAAGCGAGCCGCACCTGTAAAAACTTACCTGTGCCTCTTCGTATGCTTCGTAACAAAAGCAGTCCACTTGGAATTGGTTTGCGATTTATCAACCCAAGCCTTCATCGCTGCCTTGCGACGGTTTATTGCTCGACGTGGACGACCAAGCCACATACATTCGGACAATGGAAAGAACTTCGAAGGCGCCAAGGGAGAACTCACCGAAATGTTCGAAATTTTTCGGAAACGTAACGAGAGAGAAACAATAGTATCCACCTGCGCCGAGGAGGGAATAGTGTGGCATTTCACTCCGCCAAAAGCCCCCCACTTTGGAGGCTTGTGGGAGGCGGCCGTCAAGGTAGCCAAGAGGCATTTATTCCGTCAACTAGGTGCGTCGCGGTTGAGCTACGAGGATATGGCCACTGTCCTCTGCCAAATCGAAGCCGTGATGAATTCAAGGCCACTTCTGCCGATGTCGGATGATCCCAATGATTTGGCTGCACTCACTCCGGCTCATTTCCTAATCGGCACCTCCATGCACGCCTTGCCCGACCCAGACCTGCTGCACATCACGGAGAGTCGACTGGAGCACTACCACAAGCTGCAACTGCACGTACAGCAATTCTGGATCCACTGGCGTAAGGAATACCTGCAGGAACTCCAAAAGGACACGAAATCGGCGGAGCGCAACAACTCCATCCAACCGGGACGAATGGTCGTCATCGTCAATGAGCAGCTAGCACCAATTCGCTGGCCGCTAGCCAGAATAGTCGATCTGCGCCCTGGAACGGATCAAATAACTCGTGTGGTCACGCTTCGCACTGCAAGAGGAATAATTACCCGTCCAATAACGAAAATCTGCTTGCTTCCTGACGTTTCCGCGGAATCCGGCGATGGACATCGACTTCCCGAGGAGATCGACCCGTGAATCATCTGCTGAAAATAGATTAAGAAGATTAAATTAGATTAATTAAGCTAGAATTTCTCTTGAATTGAATTTACATACCTGTTAGTTGTCATCTCTAAGATTGTTTGTAAAATATTGAATTGCTTCAAGGCGGCGGGTATGATGAAACATAATGTGAAGTTTTTGGTAGCGAGCCCATACAGCACCGCATTTTCGCCCGTTCAGGCGAAATTATCTAGTTATACTGGCAACCTTATGTCTTCGGTTACTTGTATTCGGGTTTTTCGTCATGATCATCATTTCCTCCCATCATCATTTGTTTAGATCAGTCAGTCTTTAGTAGTAGCTCAAAGTGAATAAACCTAAAATTTAAACTTAATATTTCTGGTGAAATAAAAGGTGTGGAAGAACTCTTCTTGTTCTAAGTTTGGTGCAATCCAAAACCTGCAAGTGTGTGTATTGCTCTGGTCGTCTTGTCAGTGACATTCGGAGTACTGGCATCTCTGCTATTGTGAAGTGCATCGTATGCACTTTCTTCCCTGTGCGCACACTGGGGCCGTGCTGTGGCCACAATTCGTAAAGTTGAGACACAACGTAGGAGTAAGTTTGAACATTTTTTGGTGCCGTGACCAGGATAAACGGCCGGTGGACACTACGGGACCGCCATTATTCCAGTCCGGAACAATAGAAGACCGGCTGAACGCGCCATTGCTGGTCGAAGGTGAAGCACCTGCTAGCTGTCGATTGTTCGAGTTTTTCTGATTTGTATTTGATACAAGGCTCGCTCAATCGGATTCCAGGTAATTACCTGTCCGATTCTTCCCACGTATCTCTCAGGTACGCTTTAGATCTTCGTTTCTTTCCGTTCAAGCACCTGTCTCGAAGGTTCGAGAACTCGATTGCCGCCATCCTTGATTGGGGCACACCACGTTGGCCATCCGGCGCCATCTTCGAGCTGTTTCATTGTGTGGATCACAATACAGGTCCGCTTCTGTTCTTCGGCGGACAATTGAGGCTTTCTTCTGGAGCATTCTTCAGCCAAGCCGCGCATTTTCTACATCGCTACGCACGTGCATCAAGCATACAGTTGCGTATTCAGCGCATTGATTTTCATCTCGGTGGCTGTTTCGTCGAATACCTGAAGATTTTGATTAAATCAAGGCACGCTAAGCCTTGGACTAGTGCTCGTCATTCTTGGCTACATCCCGTTGGAGTTGGATTCGTCGCTGCACTATGGAAGAACCCAGGAGCAACAACCAAGCGCTGCTTTCACGGAGGGAGAGTCTTCTCGCTGCTCTGGGTCGGGCTGAGGCATTTCTTGAGGCCTACGATGCTGCGAGGGACGCAAGACAGGTTCAGATTCGGCTGGACCACATAGAAAACGTTTGGGCTAGGTTGGAGGACGTGCAGACGGAGCTGGAGTCCATCGAGCAGGACGAACAAGGTAAGCGAATGCATGAGGAGGTACGTACTGCCTTTGAAGAGAGGCTGTTCGCAATAAAAGCCGATCTAACATCTAAACTTCCTGTTCTTTCTAATGACGCTCGAATCCCTCAACCTATTGGCCATAATTCCGCTCTCTCTGGGTTAAAGCTGCCCACAATTTCACTCCCCGAGTTCGATGGGGACTATATGCAGTGGTTGGGTTTCCATGACACGTTCTTGGCTTTAATTCACGCAAATCCCGACGTGCCAGAAATTCAAAAGTTTCATTACTTGAAAGCCGCAGTGAAAGGGGAAGCTGCACAGCTAATTGAAACGATCGCAATCAGTGCAGCGAACTACAACTTGGCTTGGGATACTTTGGTAAAGCGCTATGCGAACGATTATCTTTTGAAGAAGCGACATTTGCAGGCACTCTTCGATATTCAACGCATGAAGAAGGAGACATCATCGACGCTGCACGCCTTGGTGGACGAGTTCGAACGCCACACGAAGACCTTGAGGCAGATGGGGGAACCTACCGGTCAATGGAGCAGCATTCTTGAGCATCTGCTCTGTACTCGGCTACATGACGACACTCTCAAGGCGTGGGAGGTGCACGCATCGACCGTGGAGAATCCGGACTACCCGTGCCTCATCGACTTTCTGCAGCGACGAGTACGTGTGCTGGAATATATTTCAGTCAACCACCATGCTCCTCCATCCATTCCAAGTTCGTATCATGGGGCAAAACGACAGCAGCAATTTCGGCTTACTTCGTGTGCTTCTACTACCAAAGCGATGGTCAAATGTCCAGTGTGCTCGCAAGAACATTACATCAGCAGGTGCCAAAAGTTCCTTGGTCTCTCGGTGGCACAACGTCAGCAACTTGCTATGAAGAAGCGACTCTGCCACAACTGTTTGAAAGGAGAACACATAGCGAAAAATTGTTCGTCCGACTTCAACTGCAAACATTGCAATCGACGCCACCACTCTCTTTTGCATGCCGGTACTAGCGATGGAACCCAGGGAGCCACTTCTGACGCACCCGTCCCGAGTACATCTGCTGTGGTACAGGCTCACCAAAATCATCCAACTTCTTCGATGGGAAATCCTATTCAATCTGCGGTCGCAGCCATCGAAAATGTTCCAGATTGTGAAGTCAGCGTTCCGATTCAACATCCCAAGGAGAACGTCTTTCTTCTGACAGCTCTGGTGAGAGTCGTTGATGCCTTTGGTCAGGGTCATCTGGTTCGTGCACTTTTGGACAGCGGATCGCAGCCTGACATCGTCAGTGAGCGTATGGCCCGTCAACTACGACTGAAGAAAACAAATGTGGATGTGACTATACAGGGAGCCGGCCAGCTTGAGCAGTCGGTACGTGAGTCCATCGTGGCGCAAGTCAAGTCAAGGAATGGAAACTTCGAAGCCGAAATCAAGTTCTTAGTCATGAACAAGGTAACAGCAAATCTTCCGGCGCACGACATCTCCACTGATGATTGGCAGATTCCCGAAGAGTTAGCCCTTGCTGATCCTGGATTCAACAAGAGCCAGCGCATCGATATGGTTCTCGGGGCAAAACATTTTCAATCCTTCTTCCCCAGCGCCGTTCGCATTCATCTTGGTGAACATCGTCCGCTACTTGTGAAAAGCGTCTTCGGATGGGTGGTAACCGGTTCTGCACTAACACAGCCCAATCAATCGCCCACTCCATATTCTCTCTCGTACAGTATCCTGAACGTTTCGACGGTAACGTTAGAGGAGAGTATCGAACGTTTTTGGAAAACGGAGGACCTGTCAATGAAGGACAATTATTCGGTTGAGGAGCGCTACTGTGAATCTCTCTTCAAGTCCACGACGACCCGCACCGCTGAGGGTCGTTACATGGTTCGACTGCCACGAAAACCTGAATTCGAAGCCATGATGGGAGAGTCCCAGATCAACGCCTATCGTCGATACGAAATGCTGGAGCGGAGATTTGAGAGGAGCCCAACACTGAAGGAGGATTACCACAAATTCTTGAAGGAGTACCTGTCCCTCGGCCATATGCGGTTGGTCGAGTCCGACAACGAAGGCAATTCTACAGCATACTATTTGCCACACCATCCCGTGCTGAAGGAGTCGAGCACAACAACGAAGCTCCGAGTAGTGTTCGACGGCTCGGCTAAAACCTCGACTGGCCACTCGCTCAATGAGGCGCTCTGTGTAGGTCCTGTAGTACAGGATGACCTCATAACGATTCTTTTAAGGTTTCGCACCTTCTTGGTTGCACTTGTCGCGGACATAGCAAAAATGTACAGACAAGTTCTGGTACACCCTGACGACACCCATCTGCAACGCATCCTGTGGCGAGTTTCTGCCAGCACAGTTATCCATGTTTTCGAGCTGCTTACCGTTACTTACGGTCTTGCTCCTTCGTCGTTCTTGGCAACCCGTGTGCTTCAGCAGCTAGCTATAGATGAAGGCGATGCATTTCCTCTCGCCGGACCAGCGTTGCGAAAAAGCTTCTACGTAGATGATTTCATCGGTGGTGCCAATTCCATAGAAGAAGCGATCAGTCTCCGTGAGCAATTAGAAGATTTGATGCAACGGGGTGGATTCGACTTGCGTAAGTGGACGTCCAGTCGTTTCGAAGTTCTGCAGGGATTGGACAAAGAGCACATCGGCACCCAGTCAACGCTTTGCTTTACCCCCAACGAGTCCATTAAGGCACTAGGAATCGTCTGGGAGCCCGAAAATGATGCCTTTCGATTTGATTCAGCGATCCAGCTACGTGACGCTCCACCTACGAAGAGATCGATACTATCGGATATCGCCAAGCTGTTTGACCCTCTAGGACTGATAGCTCCTGTAGTCGTACGCGCAAAAATCCTTATGCAGGAGTTGTGGTTGCTTTCTTCGGATTGGGACGAACCAGTTCCCGATTCCATTCGCATCAGATGGGAGAGTATTTGCAATGAGTACCCCCTCATCTCATCCTTCCGAGCTGAACGCTACGCTTTTCTTCCAAACTCCCGAGTTAAGCTTCACACCTTCGCGGATGCATCGGAATCGGCGTACGGAGCATGTACTTACGCTCGCTGCGAAAATGACCAGGGAGAAGTGTCTGTCCAACTGCTCATGTCGAAATCCAGAGTATCACCTCTCAAGCGTCTAACCATCCCTCGCCTGGAGTTGTGCGCCTCTGTCCTTGCAGCGCACTTGTATCACCGTATCAGACAAGCCATCGACATACCCATTTCTGCAGCGTTCTTCTGGTCCGATTCTGCTGTCACGCTGCAGTGGCTTCGCTCTCCACCCAACGTTTGGAAAACTTTTGTCGCCAACCGTGTGTCTGAGGTGCAGCATTTCACGCATGGATGCCAGTGGAACCATATTTCCGGGGTGGAGAACCCTGCTGACCTAGTGTCCCGAGGTCTTTCCGTTGGAGAATTTCTGCGCAGCGATTTGTGGAAGCGTGGGCCGTCATGGTTATCCGAACAGTCGAGATCCTGGCCAATATCAAGACCACCTAACGTTCCTGAAGAAGCACTTGAGGCAAAGCAAGTCGTCGCAATCGTTCATACAACCCCAGAGCCCAATCCGTTATTCGTCCGCTG